TGTGCACACACGCAGGCAGCGGTCAGGACAGGTGGGGTGAGCCTGATTGATCTTTGAAAGCAAATGTGATTCTGCTCCACTGGGACTTTGTTAAGAAGGATGAAATAGTAGTGGAAGTAATGGTCTGAGCTGGTAAAGCAGCATCAAACAACCAGTTGGATAGAAGCTGGTAACATGGAGCTGATGAAACAGTGAAGAGGTGGAGACGGTGAAACGTGTTGGTTCAGGATTGTGTTCCAGCTTGCTAAGCTAACACTGACCGTGCTCATTATGTTGTCACTTGCACTTTGCATCAGACAGACCAACGCAGAGCTAAACTGTGGAGACCAGTTTCCTTTTTGTGCACACTTTCCGTTCCCCTCGGTGACCCCGGGAGTCAGCGACCCCGTCACAACTTCACTTCAGCTCTGCTGAGGTCGACGTAGCTCAACTTTAATCAGATTTGACTTTTGATTCAATTCATTAGTTTCAGTTGAGTCATAAAGCTGGAAATCTGAACGCTAGAAACATTTTCTCATTAGCACCTATAATCCAAACAGAGAGGCGCGTTTGCGTCGTCGTCTGTCACCGAGACGTCCGTCAGGCTGGGTTAAGGTCAGAAACATTTCTGGTTTGAAGAGAGCACATGCCCACACTGTTCTCTGAAGGCCCTCCTTTGTGCAGACACTGACTCGGATAGAAAAGTAACTCCGAGAAATAAATCCTGAATCCACTTGATTAGAAACACCTCCACATTTGCGTAAACAGCTCACATGCTGGATAAAGAGCGGCTGTGAGTCACAGATGAATAAAACTGCTAGAGTGAAATAAAAGAGAAAAGAAAAATAAGCAAGGCAGGGGGTTTAAATGACTCTTCACTCGAGCTTTACAACTCAATACACGGGACGTGAATCAGGAACATAGCTGAGCCCAACAGGTCATTAAAAAAAAAACTGTGCAAATGAACACATGGGAACAGAAAGTTTTCTCTCTGAAGCTTGTCACAAAAGAACAAAGAGTGCTGAAAGGATTTTTATTGAATTTACTGGAAGAAAGAAGAAAGAAAATTAAAGATTTGCTAATTTTGACACAGAATAAAACAAATTAGTACTGTATTAGTCGAGGCTTCCACTATTGTTGAACATTTTTGTGTGTATTTTTGTTTTAAAATGCCACTGCTGCAACATTTATTAATTAACAGCTAACAAAGACAGATAGAAATAAAAAAGCCAGCATAACATTGAGGAATGCATATCGCCCGCCACCTTTTATGTCGAGTTTAAGACCGAGATCTTTTATTAGAGCTGTAGCTGCTTTCATCAAACCTGGAAAATAACATTATGCATAAGAAATGAAATATTTCTCAGACATTAGCTCAAAACCAATGAATGTAGAGTAAAATGTAAACACATACTTTTCTTTGTTTTTTCCTCAAGGAGACATCTTTTGTAATCCGTTAAATTGAGACCCAGTATGTTATCTTTTCAGAAGGACGTCAAGTTTTTCTTAGAAAAAGCACTTTTTATATTCATTTTCAGTCCTTTCTTGTACTTCTGTATTTTCTGAAGTATAGGCTTGGTTTGCGAAAGCATTTTACATCCATCTTTGACTCATTGAAGCATCAAAGGGCCACATACTTAAGAACTAAACCCATATTGTGTCTATGCATAGTAAAAAAGTCCAACAGTGTTCAGTCAGGTCATCTGGACAGTTCCTTTCTTTTGTTGTTGAGCGACGTTTCGCCCTCCATCTGAAGGGCTTCATCAATCTGAGAAGTCACAGACAAACTGTTTTCCCCACCAACCACCTTTGGATGGAGGGCGAAACGTCTCTCAACAACAAAAGAAGGAACTGTCCAGATGACCTGACTGAACATTGTTGGATTACTTTACCTGGATTATTGAGCATGAACCTTGATTAAAAAAAAAAACAAAAAAAACTTAAAGAACAGATTTAAAGTTGCATTTTTTTGGCTCTTTGTTTAATTTCTTTTTCTACAGTTGAACAAAGATAACTTTGTACAAACAGGTTATTTGCTCTAATAGTTTTTATCAGAGTTTCATCAAAGGTTTAATTCAAACTTTAGAAGTTGTCAGTGAAACGCCTCAAGTTGTTAATCGAGCTCTAAGCTCCTCTCTGATGGACCCACCGTGGATATGTTCCAGTTTGAGCTGAAAAGCAACAACACTAAGCCGAATAAAAACGTATTAAGTTGTACATGGAAAGCATTGAATTTGGAGGGATGCAGGAAAAGACTTTTTACCAGAACAGCATAAATTATTTAAGATTCCTCTAAATGCAATAAACCCAACAGCTCAATACAAAGTTGGTCCACACGGTGCGCATAATAAAGCGAGTATTGAGCGGACATTTTCTTGATTAAACGTTGGCTACAAGCAGTCAACATCCACCTACATGCATCAATACTTCTCCTTCAGCAAGCAGCTCATAATCCTCAGATGGTTTTTGCAGTCCGGCCTCCGGAGCTCCGGTGAAACAAGACAAATTAACATAACTCAACATCTCTGAGACAATAAAGCCCCAGGCTCATTTAGGATGCAGGTTCTCTGCCTGCATCCCCAGTTAACGTCTGCATACCCTGACAGAGCCAGGCTGTGGACTCTCGTGTCCTTGAGGCTGCTCAGAAGATGTCCTAATCGACAGCGAGACAGTCCGATGCAGAGCTGGCATGAGCCCGGGGGGACAGCTTGGTGCAGAGCGACGCCACATCGTGCCCCACCAGACAGTTCCGAGCCAGGGCTCAGGAGAGACTGAGACAGCCTGTGTGTGTGTGTGTGTACGACAACAGCTCTGCCTGCCAGAGGAACTGCTGGCATGGAAAAGGGGCTCGATGGGAGCGGGTCCATGCCAGCTGTGGCTCAGTGCAACCTGCTGCACCGGAGCTGTACTTCATTAAACCACTGTCACTTTTTATAGCAGACTGCTTTTAGTACAACATGTGTACTAATAAACATGTCAAAACCTAAAACCACAGCAAAACAGGTCATAATTTTAATCACAAAACACATGAAACCCACACATATACTTAAGAGTGGTTTGGGATTTTGATAAAAAAAAGTCTCTGTGGAAAGGATATGATCAATTATTGTTTTACATTTTAATAAAACAGTTTAAATCTGACTGATGCTTACAGCGAGTCAGAGCAAGGCCAAGACCAAAGTCTAATTCTGCCATCTTAAAGAGACAGTGTGGTGATTTTTAAAGTGATCGTTTGTCAACTTGTAATCAGCTATGACTTCAGCCATGAAGCACAGAGCACGAAGAAAAAGGCTCAAGTCTTCATCCAGGTTAGACTAATGGCTAAGCCCCTTTTCTATTTTTTTTCTGTTATAAAACAACACTTGGCAGCACGGTGGTGCAACTGGTAGAGCTGCTGCCTCTCAGCGAGCAGGTCCCTGGTTCAAACCCCGGTCCAGGGGCCTTTCTGGGTGGAGTTTGCATGTTCTCTCCGTGCATGCGTGGGTTTTCTCCGGGTACTCCGGTTTCCTCCCACAGACCAAAAACATGCATGTTAGGCTGATTGGTAACTCTAAATTGTCTCTAGGTGTGAGTGAGAGAGTGAATGGTTGTTTGTCTCGTTTGTCTCTATGTGGCCCTGTGATGGACTTGCGACCCGTCCAGGGTGTACCCCGCCCCTCGCACAGTGATTGCTGGACATGGGCACCAGCGACTCCCGTGACCCAAAATGGAATAAGCGGGTAAAGAAAATGGATGGATGTGTAAGAGTGACACTCACTGCAGCTCCAAGATGGCCGCTAATCAGCATCAGCTGACGGCTATCCACCTGATGAGCTACAACCATACTTAAGGCTGCAGTCGAGTCCTACTCTTCGCTGGAGCATTGTTCCCTTATTACGGTACTGATGCTTCCAGCCAGTCTTGTGTTTATACCAAGAAATACTTACCTTGTTTTTGTGTGCCTACAGCCACCTCGTTTCGACCTTCCTCGTTTGGATTCATGTTTTTGGTGCCTTGCCCTCCTGCCACGTGCCTGACCTGCCTCTCCTCTGTGACTCAGTTGGATTCCTTCAGGACACCTCCATCTCCTCCATCTGTAAGACCAAACAAAGAAATTGAATATTGTTTGAGACAACTCCTTGGCCTATCCCTTCCTGACGTTACGCTTCCTCCTTCAGGGATTCCAGAGGAACCATCTTGTACATTTGTAAATATCACTGTAAATAATAAACACTGTCACTTTTACTACTTCGCCTTGTGTCGTTTCGGGTCTCGTTATCAACTGGGTTGCCCATAATCATAACAGAATGCTCCAGCCATCAAAAACTGAAAACAGACATCGTTTGTTCTAAGTCAACTCTTTGGGGGAATAAACCGTGAGATTGTAAAAAGCAACACCTTCGAATGATGCTGTACAGATGTGTTCACTGGAGGCCACACTATCAACGACATGGCAAAGTCAACGAAAAGACTTGTTGCTTTTTCCAGGCCTTTTTATTTTATTTACTTTTTTCAGAAGCCAAAATTGAAGATACGGCTGGCATGCATTCCCCCAGTCTACAATATGAATTTTCCAGAGAAAAAGCCAATGAAGATCGCTGCTAAGACAACAAGCAGGGAGGGCAAATAGGCGATGGTGTGTTCTCGGCCGACGAGGTTGGTGGAGTTTGCAGTCATGTGGTCTGAGCGAGGCATTTTTCTGAGTTTGTTAACGTCATCCTTTAACTGTCGGTTCTCCTCCGTCAGCTTGTTGACCTCGGCCTGCAGCCTCCTGCACTTCTCTTGCACTCTCTTTACCTCGGCATCATCCGCTGCTACAGCTGCGGGACTTGTGGTCGACGTCGGCTCCGCTCTCGCCAAGTTCATCACCGGGACAGCTCTTGCCACCTCAACATCATTCACTCTATCATTTTCAGAAGGCATCTCAAAGACACATCTCAGCTTGGAATCCATGAGCTCATCGCGTTTTGCGTCTTTCCACAACGAGTCCATGTCGGAAACATTTGGTGGGGCGAAAATTGTCTGCACCATGAATTTATGCTTACTTTTTTCATTGGGGTCATATTCAAATGGTTGAAGCATAACCGAAATGACGACAGTTGCTCCGGGGTCGATGACTCCGCTGTTTGGCCGTACACAGTACCTACGTGGTGCCGTCGTCTTCACTTTGAAACACACTCTTCTGTCAGAAGGGTTCCTCAATTTTAGGTCACTGGCTTGAGGGTACTGAGGTACCTTTTCTCATCTGGACAGACCATAAGAATCTCACATATCTCAAAGAAGCCAAACGATTGAACCCCAGGCAGGCACGATGGTCACTATTTTTCACCCGTTTCAATTATTTGCTGACATTCAGACCTGGGTCCAAGAATGTCAAACCCGACGCTTTGTCTCGCCAGTTTTCTCCTCCAGAAGCCCCGGAGTCCGAAGACAGCATCCTGCCTCCTGTTTGCATCATTGGAGCCCTCACCTGGCCCATTGCCAAGGAGGTTCAACGAGCTCATCAATTGGAACCAGATCCAGGCACAGGCCCACCTGGTACACTTTTCGTCCCCTCATCAATGAGGTCCAAGGTACTCGAGTGGGTGCACACTAATGAGCTCTCGTGTCACCCCGGTATCTCTCGCATGCTTTCCCTTACTAGGACCCATTTCTGGTGGCCTACTCTGCCACATGATGTGAAGGAGTTTGTGGCAGCCTGCCCCACCTGTGCCAGGAACAAGACTGGCACGCAACCTCCAGCAGGTCTTCTTCAGCCCTTGCCCACGCCCAGTCGCCCGTGGTCTCACATCGCCGTGGATTTCGTCACCGGTTTACCACCCTCAGACGGTAACACCACCATACTCACGGTCATTGACAGGTTTTCTAAGGCGGCTCACTTCATTCCTCTCCCAAAGTTGCCCTCAGCTATGCAGACGGCCCAGGTATTGGTCCAACAAGTTTTTCGCATCCACGGTATCCCCTCTGACATAGTCTCCGACAGAGGCCCCCAATTCATCTCCCAGGTGTGGCGCTGTTTTTGTACCTCCTTAGGGGCATCCACCAGTCTCACCTCGGGTTATCACCCACAGTCAAATGGTCAAGCGGAACGCTGTAACCAGGAGCTTGAGACCACCCTGAGGTGTCTCGTGGAGGGCAACCCGTCAGCATGGAGCCAACATCTGGTCTGGGTGGAATATGCCCACAATGCTCATACCTCCACAGCCACAGGTATGTCCACTTTTGAGGCTTCTCTGGGTTACTTGCCTCCTTTGTTCCCCAGCCAGGAGACGGACATTTCGGTGCCTTCAGTTCAGCACCATTTTCGCCGCTGTCGACGCATCTGGCGCCAAGCAAGAGCAGCACTGTTACGCACGGCAGAGCAGAATAAAAGGTTTGCGGACCGGCACCGATCCGCCGCACCATCCTATCGGGTGGGACAGAGAGTTTGGCTTTCTACCAGAGACATCACCCTGAAGGACATTCCCAGGAAGTTGGCACCCAAGTTCATTGGTCCATTCCCTATAATCAAGATCGTCAACCCTTCTGCAGTACGTCTTCGACTTCCTGACTCTATGAGGATCCATCCAACCTTCCATGTTTCTCAGCTCAAGCCTGTCTCTGAGAGCCCTCTGTGCCCACATGCCGACCTCCCTCCACCCGCCCGGCTTATCGACAATCACCCGGCATTCACCGTCCGTACCATCTTGGACGTCCGACGCCGGGGGAGAGGTTTCCAGTATCTTGTGGATTGGGAGGGGTACGGTCCTGAGGAGCGTTCATGGATTCCCCGCTCCTTCATTCTGGACCCCAGTCTAATCACCGCATTCTTCAGGGCCCACCCTGAGAAGAGACTCAGATCGCCAGGAGGCGATCCGTGAGGGGGGGTACTGTAAGAGTGACACTCACTGCAGCTCCAAGATGGCCGCTAATCAGCA